CCTCGCTACTTCGATTCATTGCACCCGTAACACTTGGTATTCAGAGCCTCTTTTCTTTTCGGATCGCGCATCTCCGGACCCAGAGAAATCAACTTTTTTATTTTTGCACTCGAAGGGACGCATGCCCCTTAGCGCCTAGGAGCCGCTCTCCTCGGAAAGGGGGGAGCTGAATAGCAAAAACAGACCAAGCAGCAGGGAAACTCTGGGAGTCAGTAGCAGACGGGCCCTCTACTGACAGGTCACGCCGCTCGCCCGACCCAACCGACCCTCACCGAGTGATTGTGCCAATTCACGCAATTGACCACAACCAGCCGAATAAGGAGGGTACATCGGTAGACAGCCCCATACTGCTAAACGGGAAAATACAGACGGACTTAGTTGAAATCTTCGTAGACGGTGGGGCTTGCCACAGCCTGATCAACACCGCAACAACACGGAGACCGAAACTGCCACTGGATAGATGTTTACTAAAGATCGACGTACGACTGGTCGACGGCACGCCACTTGCGATACGGGAACGTGTGGACCGAGTTCGGATTCGATGCGGGTGTAACTATACCTTTATTCAAGAAATGCTCGCAACGACCCTCGACTGAACAGGCATTTTACTCAGGCGTGATTGGCTGCGATGACACAATCCACGAAACGACTGGACGACGGGTGATTGCACCGTGTGCGTGAATGGTAACAACTTTGCCTTACTTCGCTGGAGCTTGCCTGATTCTTCGTCGGTGCGAGTCATCGCGATCACGATGAAACGCGTCGTAGCGGCAGGAGCTGACGTGCATGCGGTTGACATTCGGGAAGCCGAGGCAGCAAACAAACCGAGTGGTTTGCAGAAACTGCTCGCCGACGTACCGGATGACTTGGCAGCGCTATTGAAGCAGTACAGCGGGATATTTCCGGATGACCTACCAGAGGGACTGCCACCTCAGTGACCGCACGACCACAGGATAGAACTAGAACCGGGGGCACAGCAGACAGTACAGCGACAGTTCCAACTGACCCAACCCGAACAGGACGAACTTCGGAAGCAGCCGGATTACCTGCTCAAGAAAAAGTTCATTCGCCCGAGTTCGTCACCCTTCACCGCACCGATTCTGTTCACACCGAAAAAAGACGAGGGATTTTGCATGTGCATAGACTACCGCGCACTGTACCGAGTTACCATAAAATCCAGTTACCCCATCCCGCGAGCTGACAAACTGAATGACCACCTTTGCACAGCCCGGGTTTTTTCCAAAAAATGACCTTCGAGGAGGTTACCACCAGATCCGCGTCAACCCGCCCGACTGCTCGAACCCACTACGAATCATTCGAATACACGGTAACGCCCTTCGGACTGACCAACGCCCCTGCAACCTTCCAAATGGCCATGAATGAAGCCTTCCGCCCGCTTTTAGATAAGTGCCCAATCGTCGACTTAGACGACCTACTGATCTACAGCCCAGACAAAGCACAGCACCTACAGGACATCAAAGTTGTTTTTCAAATACTTAGTGAGAACCGCCTACTAACCAAAGCCTCCAAGTGTGAGTTTCTACATGACAGACTGGAGTTTTTGGGGCACATAATTTCAGCCAATGGAGTGGAAATAGATCAGGAAAGTTCGCGACGATTCAAGCATGGCACGCGCAAACCAACTTGACTGAGTTGCAGAGTTTTCTGGGGTTCGTCAACTACGTGCGACGGTTCGTCCCCGACATGGCGAAATTGATTGCCGCATTGACCGACCTGCTGAGGAAGGGGGTTGAGTACACGTGGGGGGAGAAAGAGCCAACTACCTCCCTCAAAAACATTTTGTTCTTACCGCCCGTGCTTCACATCGCAGATCCTCACCGTCCATTCCAGCTTATCACCGACGCAAGTGACATCGCTGTGGGAGCAGTACTGTTGCAGGACTTTGAGAACGGCCTTCAGCCAATCGTGTACGAGTCCCGCAAGCTTCACCTGCCCGAGCGCAACTATCCGATACACGACCGCGAGATGTTGGCGATCGTGCACGCGTTCAAAGTATGGCGCTGCTACCTGACAGGAGCCGACGTGACAATACAGACACACCATCGCGCACAACAATACCTTCGCGCACTACGGACAGAATCACTGGTTGGACTATCTGGAGTCAAACTTCCACTACACCGTCGCGTACAAAAAGGGAGCGTCGAATATCGCTGATGCACTCACCTGTCAGAATTAGGAACGAAGAATGACTAGAAACACAGCAGTACAAGGTTAGTATATGCAAAACCTAATTGGGCTGTACCCCTTGAGGAGTGCCCCACTACAGCCTAGAGCATAGTTCTGACACACCCCCATAGGCAAAGTGGGGGACAAGCAAGAGAACGAAGCAAGATCAAGCCCAGGGTGGATCACAACGTCACCACACATTCTGAGCACAAGCAAATGGCCACAAGGCCAGTTCAAATGCAGAGACCACGTGTGAAGATATCAACAGTGTTGGCCCGAGAGGCCACGTAAGCAAGACGAAGCTGATCACGCTGCTGCAACTCTTGAGCAAGGAAGTAACGCAGAGCGATGTGCTTCGTCTTGTGTTCCAGTCTGTGCTCCTGACACAAGGCAATCGTGGCCTTGTTGTCGACGTACAAAACTGGAGGAGAATGAGCCGCCTCTCCCAGGTCGGTCAGCAGGTAGGTGAGCCAGCGTAACTCCTGTGCAGCCATGGCCTCTGCGTAGATCCCAGCCTCATAGCTGGAGCTGAGAACAGAAGACGGGCGGGTAGACCGCCACGATACAAAGCCGGAAACAAGGCTGAAGGTGTAACCCTGTGACGACCGCTGCGTAGCCAAGTTGTTAACCCAAGAAGCGTCTGCGTGACCAGTGAGGACAACTCGACTCCGTCCTCCAAGCACGAGCCCCATGCCCGACGTACTGCACAAGTAGCGCATCACCCTCTTAGCGCCCCTCTAGTACTCTGGTCGGTGCCTCTCGAGTGCAACGTAGCGTGCCACGATGCTAAGAGGGTAAGCAAGGTCAGGTCGAGTGCAGGTCATCAGGTACATGAGGCAGCCCACAAGCTCTGGACATGCCACTCGGCTCTACGGACTCATCCGAAGGCAGAGCTGAGAGTGAGAGACCAGTAGGCAGAGGAGTGGCCTGTGGCGAGGAGTACTGGAAGTTGAAGCGCAGAAGGGCCTGCTGCAACATGTGTGACTGACTCAAGGTAATGGTGCGGCGTGCTCTGTCCTGGATGATCTACAAGCCAAGATAGCTGCGGTCTGTGCATGTGTGTCTCTTCTGCAGCTTCGACTTCACTAGAGTCAGTGCCTCAGTATCAGCAGTGGCAAAAACCAAGTCCTCGATGTACACAAGGATGTAGAACGGCGGCAGCGAAGTGTCGGTGCGTAGAAACAACGACGGGTCAGCAGTAGAGGGAGCAAACCCAAGAGCCGCAAGGGTCGTCCTCAGTGTATAGTGCCACTCGCAAGGCGCTTGGCGGAGACCGTAGACTGGCCGCCGGAAGCTCCATTAGGTACCAGGAGGAAACAACCCAGTGAAGCCAAGTGAGCGGCACAGCCAGATCTCCTCGTGCAGGCTGCCCTGTAGGAAAGCAGTGCTAAGTCAAGAGAGTAAAGCTCGGAGTCACGCTGAGCGGCAACGTGCAGCAGAACCCGAAGAGTGGTCATCTTCGGGGTCGGGGAGAAGGTCTGGAAGAATTCAACTCCCTGTCGCTGACTGAAGCCTCGAGCAATGTAACGCGCCTTGAAGACAGGCGGAGATCCCGGCGGCCGCTTCACCTTGAAAATCCACATGCCATCGACGATCTTCGCCCCTGGAGGGGGAACCTCGTCAACGTAAGTGCCTATGGACTTCCAAGATGCCATCTTTGCGTCCATGGCTGACTGCCACTGAGAGGAGTAGGGACCCTCTATTGCCTCTGCGTAAGAGTGCGGGGTCGGGATGTCTGGTTCATTCGGGTCTCCCTCAGGTGCAATCAGCATGGATACAAGATGAGGTACAGCATTTGCAAAGCACTCAAACTCCTCCTGCCTGTCCTCAAGGACGTCCGTGGTAAGAGCGCACTCACCCCCGACGGACGGAGGACAGACAGACTCAGACTCAGCAACAAGACTAGCGGCGTAGTCTAGACAACAGCGAGCAGCAAAGTTGACAAGCTCAGCAACTAAGGCAGACGTAGCAGTGGACTCGAAGGAAGGGTCAGTGACAACAGTAGCAAGCAGACGCGTGACGGTAGGGCTGGCAGTACGAAGTGAGTCAGACTTGGCGTCCGGACCGTCAAAAAGGGAGGACGTAGGGGGAGACGGCAGATGGTAACTGCGACTGCAACTGGACACGTGGTGGACACTCGAAGGGAGGAGTGGGAGCAGTAGAAGGCGCAAGACCAAGAACCTGCTGGAGGAGAGGAACGAAGTACGGCCGCGGCCGTGCAGCACCACCAGAACCAGCAGAGACAGCTCCAGCACCCCCAGCTCCAGGGTCTCCAGTTCCAACTCCTGCAGTACCACTAGCTCCAGCACCAGCAGCACCTCCAGCAGAAGCAGATCCAACGCCTCCTGCTCCAACTCCTTCAGTACCACCAGCCCCAACAGCTCCATTACCTACAGTACGAGCACCTCCGGGACCAGCGGCTCGAGTACCTCCAGCAGCTCCAACAGCAGCGGGACCTCCTGCTCCAGCAGCACGGCTCCAGCGCCGAGCAAACCAGTCGTGCAGCTGCGGTGGAGAGACTGGCTCCCGCCAGGACAACATACCCGGAGGACCTCCAGAGGACAAAGTACCTCCAGGCTCATCACGCTCAGGCTCAGCACCCCCAGGCTCCACACTCTCAGGCTCACCACCCCCAAGCTCCGCACCCTCTGACTCAGCAACCCCAGGCTCAGCACCCCCAGGCTCCGCACGCTCAGGCTCAGCACCCCCAAGCCCCGCACCCGTAGGCTCAGCACCCCCTGGCTCCGTACCAGCAGGCTCAGTACCCCTAGCAGTACCAGAGTCGACAGCTACCTCGACAGGCTCGAGAGGGTCTACCTGGGACACAAATGAGGGGGCAGGAACCTGAGGGGGGAGGGGGTCTACCGGAGGAGGACCTGGTGCTAGGAAGAGCGGCGGGGGGGGAAGGGGGGCAGTGCGGTAGGGGAAGAGACGGTAAAAGGGAATCGACTCGTCAAACGTGACGTCCTGAGAGGACAGAACACGGCGCGAGTGGGGTGGTAAAACTGCCAGCCAGGCACGTCAGGGGGGAAGCCAAGGAAGACGCAGGGAACAGCACGGGAGGACAGCTTGTCCGCGGAAGAATCGCGGACAACAGCTCGAGATCCCCAGACACGGAACACAGACGCATCGCCAACCTTCCCCGTCCACCGCAGAGCAGGTGTGGTCTCCGGAAAGGAGACACGGGGCTGGAGGTTGAGCTGATGCGCCGCGTACTGAACCGCGAATGGCCACAGAAAATGGGGAGCAGCCGCATGGATCATGGACGTACGAGCGACGTCCATGACCATGCCAATGCGGCGCTCAGCAATCCCATTTTGCTGTGGGGATGCCGGAAGCGTGAACGTTTGGCGAATGCCCTCCGCACGACAGAAGGCCTGCAGAAGGGCGAAGGAAAACTCTCCACCTCTGTCAGAGAGCCGAAACTCTCGCTGAGCTGGCGACGGGCAGCGCGGATCCAGTCAATCAGCACCTCAGTGACTTCACCGTTGCGACCCAAGGGGAAGACTGTGGTGTAACGCGAGTAGTCGTCAACGACCAACAGGAATTAATGCTCGTAACCCTGTCCACGGACGCAGGCTGGGCCCCACACGTCCATGTGTAGAGTCAGCAGGGGAGCCTCCATTGGAGGGAACTCGGAGGAGTGAGGAGCCGCGCGCTGCCGTCCCTCGACGCAAGGAACGCGAGTAGGGGCAGGCCTCGGTGGGAGGGGAGGGAGAGACCGGGGGAGACCAGTGACAAGGACACGGGAGGCCATACCTCGAAGACGAGGCAGGGAGGGGTGACCGAGGCGGTGGTGCCAGAGGAGAGCCTGGTGTTACAGGAGACGACACGAGCAGGGGGCAGACTCCGGACCAGACCTAGACGCGGCAGCAAACACCTGACCAGACCCGGCTATCTGACCAGACACAGTAACTGGAAAGGACGCAGTAGTCAGGGTGTACAGGCTCGACCCGGGCTGATAGGTAAACGTGGCGAGGTGGCGGCCTGTCCGAGTACACATACAGTGGGTCACCCGCTGACCACCACGAGTGAACTGGTCAACCCACACATCCTGGAGGTCAGCTCCACTCACCAAGTTCGTGGAGAACGAGGGGAGGTGGACGACCCGACAGTGAGCCAGACGGGACGGCCGAACATAGCAAAACCGTGGAGGAGTGTGTAAGGACTGGGCCCCCAGAGGGGTCCGCCAGGGAGATAGCAACCGGTCGACTCAGCGGCGTGAGTGTGGTGCAGTCGCGAAAGAAAGTGCGGGAAGCACCGGAGTCAAGAGTGAAAGTGTGCAAGGCCTCAGCAGGCGCAGTACTTGAGAGAGCAGACTCACCAGCACCTGAAGCAGCAGGCTCACCAGTACCTGGAGCAGCAGACTCACTAGCACCTAGAGCAGCAGCCTCTATACATGGGTCAGGCGGAACACACAGGTAACAGTCACCCTCAGCACTAATAGTCACAGCATACATGGCAACAAGGATAACATCATAATCAAGATCAAAGATAGCAACATCAGACTTAAGCAGATCAGCCCAATGAGGGAGCTCAGTAACAGCAGAAGCGGCTGGCGCTAGCCACCGCCAAAGCCTCCACGCTGCACGGCTCCACCCCGACCAGCACCACCGCCGCCGCCACCCCCACTGCCGCTGCCGCCGCCGCCTCCATCACCGCCGCCACCGACGCCCCCACTCCCGCTTCCACCCCCACCTCCACTCCCACCCCCTCCACCTCGTCCACCGCCACCACCGCCGCCCCCGCCGTCCCCTCCACCACCCTTGCCCCCCCTGCCCTTGCCACTGCGGCACCTCCCACTAGGAGCAGACGTAGCCCCGACGGCCTCGGTGCCAACGAGGTCGACAGCAGCAGCAGAAGCAACAGGGGGCAAAAGGGGGACGGGGGGGCACCCCTCACAGAAAGGGGCGCAAGGTTTGCCGCGAGATGCTCCTATAGTGACTATGCTAGTCTCAGCTGCAAGGAGGCGCTCCTTGAGCAGGTCGACGGTGAACTCAGTGGGGCAAAGGGAGAGAAAGTGGTCCCTGACTAAGCGGAGAGAGTAAGGGAGACGGGTGACTAGGTAGAAGAGGGTGATGTACATGGAGAGGGGGGGGAGGGGGTTCTTGGCGCAAAACTCGAAGGGAAGCGCAGCGCTGTAGCGGGTGTGAGTAGTGCGGATGTGGGTGATGAGGTCAGCGACAGTGGCAAACGCGGCTAGGTCAGGGAACAAGTACGGCAGCATGAGGCGGCAGAGGGCAGCAGAGGCAAGGGAGGAGTAGCGTGCGACAACGGCACCAGACAGGGACTTAGCAGTCTTGTACTCGCCAAAGTGCGCGCGCTCAGCAGACGGCAGGTGACTACGAACAGCTAGGCGAGCAACAGCGTCACGAGTAGTCCATTGCAAGCGAACTGTACTGTCAGCTTCGGCAGCAGGTGCAACAGAGGCGCCGGACGTGTGATCGAACAGCGAGACTCCGTCCATGGAGTCGCAGTGAAGATAGAGCTGCAAGTTATCTACCCAGACCTCAAAATCGACCGCACGGCCCTCAGCATCGAAGGTAAGCACAGTAGGACTAGCCATGGCGGCAGAAGCAGCAAGGCAGGACGGCGCGGCACGGTAGGGCGGCGCGGCTCGGCAGGGCGGCGCGGCACGGCAGGGCGGCGCGGCTCGGCAGGGCGGCGCGGCTCGGCAGGGCGGCGCGGCTCGGCTAGGCGGTGCGGCGCGGCAGGTAGGCAGGCGCAGCAGCGTGCTTGGCAGGGCGGGCGCTTACCAGGGGCGGGTGCAGGACAGGGCCGCGACCAGCGGGTAGGGCAGGGCCGGTACAGGGCGGCAGCTGGGCAGGGCCGCTACGAGGCGGCGGTAGAGGAGGGCCGTGACGGGGCGGCTGCAAGGCAGGGCCGCGACGGGGCGGCTGTAGGGCAGGGCCGCGACTGGGCGGCTGAAGGGCAGGGCCGCGACGGGGCGGCTATAGGGCAGGGCCGCGACTGGGCGGATGCAGGGCAGGGCCGGGACGAGGCGGCGTAAGGGCAGGGCCGTGACGGGGCGGCAGGAGGGTAGGGCCGCGACGAGCGGCAGCAAGGCAGGGCCGCGACGGGCAGCGGGGCCAGGCCGCGGGGGGCCGCTAGGGCAGGCCGCGAAGGGCGGCGATAGGGCAGGGCCGCGACGGGCCGCAAAAGGGCAGGGCCGCGACGGGCCGCAAAAGGACAGGGCCGCGACGGGCCGTTAGGGCAGGGCCGCTACGGGCCAGGAGGGCAGGGCCGCTACGGGCGGCAGTAGAGCAGGGCGCGCGACGGCGCGTCTGAGGCAGGCGCGAAGCGCGCTTCGGGCAGGGCAGGAAAAAAATTTATCGTGGTGGGCCCTTAAAAAAACGTTCCCACTAGGGAACCTGCTCTGAAACCATGTCAGAATTAGGAACGAAGAATGACTAGAAACGCAGCAGTACAAGGTGAGTATATGCAAAACCTAATTGGGCTGTACCCCTTAAGGAGTGTCCCACTACAGCCTAGAGCATAGTTTTGACATCACCTGCCCCACTGCCCAAATTCACGCCATCCTACTTGCCCAAACCAACCCACTGTTAAGAGGCCTATTCACCCACGGATTTTGTCAGAATGTGTAGTTTGTCTAGCCTGCAGTGGGGTACTCTATAGCGAGTACAGCCCAATTAGGGTTTCCTATATGTATCTCAACTGCTGCTAGTGCAAATTCTCTTTCCTGTTCTATCTTTCTACTTACTATCTTCGACATGCTATCAGAGCGATCACGCTCCTAGCCTGTGGGCCCACCATTAGCTTCTGTTGTTGTCCTGTCTGTCGCGCGCCCCATGGCGCGCGACGTTTTTTCTTCCCGCCACGCGCTCCTGGCGCATGGCGGTTTTCTGCCCGTCGAGCGCTCGGGGCGCGCGGCGGTTTTCTGCCACCCGTGCGCCCCAAGGCGCGCGGCGGTTACCTGCCCCGTCGAAGCGCCCCTGGGGGCCCGCGCGCCGCCCCCTCTCGTGGCCTCGTCGCGGCGCCTTGGGGGCCCGCGCGTCGCCCCCTCCCGTCGCCTCGTCGCGGCGCCCTGGGGGCTTGCGCGCCGTCCTCTCCCGTCGCCTCGTCGCGGCGCTTTGGGGGCCCCCGCGCTGCCCCCTCCCATCGCCTCGTCGCGGTGCCTTGGGGGCCCGCGTGTCACCCCCTCCCGTCGCCTCGTCGCAGCGCCCTGGGGACCCGCGCGTCGCCCCCTCCCGTCGCCCGTCAAGGCGCCTTGGGGGGCCGCGCGCAGCCCCTCCTGTCGCCCGTCGAGGCGCCCTTGGGGGCCCGCGCGCGGCCCCCCTCCCGTCACCCGCTGTGGCGCCCTCGGGGGGCCCGCGCACTGCCCCTCCTGCAGCTCGCGAACCGCCCCTGCAGCCCGTGAACCGCCCCTGCAGCCCGCGAACCGCCCCTGCCGCCTCCTGCCCTCGTGCAACTGCGGGGTGGCGGGTGTGTGTGTCATTACTTGCTCCTCCTCCTCCTCCGTCTCCCATTACTGCAGCTGCCGCTGAGGGGGGTGGATGTGTGGGAGCCGCGGGCGCAGCGCTAGGGGGGTGTCGTGGGTGTGGAGCTAGGGTTCAGCAGGGGGTGTGTGAACGGGATTTTTGGGACAATGGGGGAGGTTGAAGGGGGGGTGGCCGCCGTGAAGCCAGCAGCTCTAGTCGCCCGTGAGACCGTTGCACCAGTCGCCCGTGAGCCCGTCGCTCCAGTCGTCCGTGAGCCCATTGCTCAAGTCGCTCGTGAGCCAGTTGCTCCTGCCGCTCGTCTAGCCGCGGAGCCAATTGCTCCAGTTGCCCGTGTGCCAGTTGCTCCAGTTGCCCGTGTGCTAGTTGCTCCAGTTGAAAGTGTGCCAGTTGCTCCAATTGCACGTGTGCCAGTTGCTCCAGTTGCGCCGTGTGCCAGCAGCTTCAGCTACCGCCCACCACCTCCTTTCCTCTCATAGTTCCTCCTCCTCCTCACTTGCCCTGTGTGAAAGCCTCTAGTTTTGCATATATTTGTGAACTGGGAACTGCTGCTTGTTGTGCTGATCATACCCCACTTTGACTATGGGGGTGTGTCAGAATGTGTAGTTTGTCTAGCCTGCAGTGGGGTACTGTATAGCGAGTACAACCCAATTAGGGTTTCCTATATGTATCTCAACTGCTGCTATTGCAAATTCTCTTTCCTGTTCTATCTTTCTACTTACTATCTTCGACGGATTCAGTACCGACCCATTCTTCACGACCGGAAATTCACAGCAACTGGCAGAAGCAAAGGGAGTCTATTACGTAAAAACAGGCACCAACCGCATTTGGGTACCCGCGTATTCACTACTGAGGGAACTGCTACTGCAGAAGGCACATGACGGAGTTTCGTCTAGTCATTTTGGGGTAGAAAAAACGAGTTAGCAACTGGAGCGGTACTACTACCGGCAGGAGCGTTGACCGATGTACAGCACCACGTGGGATCGTGTTTTACGTGTCAAGTGACGAAGAGCTCGCGAAAAAGAAAAGGCAGGTCAGTTGCAGCCGATTCCACCGCCCGAGCGCGCCTGACAGCAGGCTACCATGGATTTTGTCACGGGGTTACCTTCGAACCCTGGGGGTAACGACGCGGTTATGGTCGTCGTTGACAGACTGACGAAATTGGCTCACTTCACTGCATGGAGGAAATCGATCTCAGCCGAAGAAACCGCTCGCCTGTTCATAGCGACCGTCGTTCGACTGCACGGAATACCAGCCGCGATAATCAGCGACCGCGACACGAAGTTTACCAACAACTTCTGGAAGAACCTTTAAAAGCATTTAGGGACCAGGCTGCAGTTCAGCTCATCGTACCACCCTGAGACCGACGGTCAAACGGAGCGCACGAATCAAACCATGGAGCAGTGGATTCGTGCACGTGCGACGACCCAACAACATGGGAGCAGCAGCTGCCGTTGGTCGAGTTTGTCAAACATATATGACATATTCTGTGTAGGCTGTAGTGGGGTAGACTATATGGGGTACAACACTGCTAGATTTTCTTACTTGTACCCATCTCCTTGTTAGTTAAGCCATTCCTTGTTCGCCACTTTTCACATGGTTTCAGAGCAGGTTCCCTAGTGGGACCAGTTTTTGTTTTAGGGCCCACCACAAACCTTTTTTTTCTGCCCTTCCAGAATCGCACTGTCGTGCCTGCCTGCCCTGTCACGTGCCTTGCGCCTGACTACCCGCGCCCTCGTGCGCCACCCTGCCGCCCTGCCTTGCAGGCCGCGCGCGGGCCTGCCCTGCACCCGTGCAGCCGCCCCTGGACCCCGCGACGCGTCGCCCTGCTCGTCGCGACGCCTCTGCGGGACCCGGGCGTTGCCCCCGCCTCGTCGCGACGCCCCTGCGGGACCCGTGCGTCGCCCCCGCCTCGTCGCGACATCCCAACGGGACCCGGGCGTCGCCCCCCTCTCGTCGCGACGCCCCTGCGGGACCCGCGCGGCGTCGCCCCTGCCCGCCGCGGCGCCCTGCCCTACCCCGCGCCCGCCCTAGGGACGGCCGACCCTGCCCCGCCCTGCAGCATCCTGCCAACGCGGCCCTGCCCCGCCCTACAGCAGCGGCCGTCGCGGACTGCCCAGCCCTGCAGCAGCTGCCGTCGCGGCCCTGCCCCGCCCTGCAGCAGCTGCCGTCGCGGCCATGCCCCGCCCTGCAGCAGCTGCCGTCCCGGACTGCCCCACCCTGCAGCAGCTGCTGTCGCGGCCCTGCCCCGCCCTGCAGCAGCGGCCGTCGCGGCCCTGTCCCCGCCCTACATCAGCTGCTGTCGCGGCCCGGCCCCGCCATGCAGCAACTGTCACGGTGCCCCTCGCCGCAGTCGTGGCCCCGCCCTGCAGCAGCTGCCGCGGAGCTCCCTGCCGCGGTTGCGGCCCCGCCCTGCAGCTGTAGTGGTCCCGCCGTCGCCGCTGTCTTGCGCCTGCCCTTCCCACCACTGGTGAGCACTGCCCTGCCCGCGCTGCTACCGCTGCTACTGCTGCTACTGATTTTACTTCTGCTACTGCTACTACTACTACTACTACTGCTGCTGCTCCTAACGTGGCCAAATGCAGCTCCAGGGCCGTCCGCGTGAGTCCCTCACGCCCCAGCAGCTTCGTGAGTAGTACGCTAGTCGGGGTTGTCGGGGTGGCCGTAATGAGAGTCGTCCTGGAGTGGGTAGTTCGGGAGCTTCTTGTAGTGGCCCAGTGCAGCTGCAGCGTCGTTCGCGCGAGTCCCTCACGCCCCAGCAGCTTCGTGAGTGGTACGCTAGTTGGGGTTGTCGGGGTGGCCGTAGTGGGAGTCGCCCTGGCGTGGGTAGTTCGGGAGCTTCTGGTAGTGGCCAGGTGCAGCTGCAGCGTCTTCCCCGCAAGGCTCTTTCGCCCCAGCAGCTTCGTGAGTGGTACCCTCAGAGTAAAGGGTCACTGAGTACTGCTTGCTGCCTGTACGTCATTCGCATGAGTGTCCGGACTGGTCAGCCTTGCGGGACACCTAGTCACAC